AAAATCGGACTTAATTAAGAATATGGCACGGGATCGGTCTATCCTAGGGATGGCAAAATGGACCCAAAACCAATTGCCCACCAATACCCACCCGCCAAATAAACCATCCAAACCCACCCATTTAGTTAAATGGACCATAAATGGGTGGGTATAGTTTCTATTAAAGATAAATTGATCATTAATGGGCGGGTTAGTACTCACCCATTTACCCGTTTAGATGGATATTGTTTTAAAAACACCCTCAACGCTTCAACAATTACAAAACTCATTTTTAAAAGTTAAAAATTATAGAAAACACTTAAAATAACTAACAACCCCTTAAAATTTTGAGATTTGCAAAAAACACACTCAAAGTATAATAGAGATATACGTGTGATCGAACTTTACTTCTCACGAGTCATGATCGAGCTCCACGGACTTAGTACTGTGGTGTTTGGTGTTAGTTTATATATAACAAATATGGAACTATATATATATGGGTAATTAGTTCACTCATGAATATCTCAGTAAACACATGCTTTATTCCGTAGTTGCTAACTTTGGCCTCCAAAAAAAAAAAAAAAAAGTCCACATTCATTTCCTGAAGTCGGAGCTGTATGAATCAATTACATAAAACCAAACTGTTGCCTCCATGTTAATACTCACATTTCCCAAAATGTGTGAACTTTGCTCATTTTGGAAGGACAATATCTGCAGTCCTTTTTGCTACCCGCACAATATAAGGGGAAAGGAAAATTTGAACCGTTGTTCTCTTCTCAACACTCAATTTCTTATTAAAGACACGTTTTCATTTCCTTCCATGAGTATCTCTCTCAAATTTAAGTCTAAACCTTGCTAAACACTGCTTTGATATATTATAAGCGCTTATTATTCAATATTGGATGGTTACGATTCGCTCTCAATTTTGATACTTATTGTACAGCCAGGGTTTAATTTGCACTCGTTTTTGTTTTCACCTAGAGCACATTTCAGTCGTCGCGACCAAATAATTAGTGATTGTAATTAAAAGTAGTGATATCTCCGTTACTTTTTTCCTAGTGGGAAAAATCGAAACCGCACCCTCCCCTTCTTTTTTGCATATACTCGATCCACTGATAAATATGCTTAGAAATTTCCTTTTTGACATGTATTTGCTTTATGTGCATGCTTAGAACGTTGAACATCCATTTACTTTAATAAGGAAGAAATTAGCAGAATCTTACTCTAGAGCTGATTATATGTTATTACTTTGACCTTTGGGGGAATCTGAGGATGATAAAGAGATAAGAGAGGGTTGAGGAGGCTCAAATTGGTCACTAGCACAATAACATGTAACTAATGGGTAGCTGGAAAATAAAAATGATGCCAAATGTAAACCTAGACTTCCACCAAGAGTCATCAATTCAACAATAAATGGATTTTGTACTAACTTTTTAGATCCTCATTTAGTTATAATTACATTAATTTATGGATTTTGTACTAACTTTTTAGATCCTCAGTTAATTGTAACATTTTAATAACCCTTTTATTGGCAAAAAAAATGTATGTCAAGTCAACCTAAGATCGTTTTGAAGCTTAGATATTGTTTGGAAAAGATCCACTCACATTCAAGTTGCTGGAAGTTACGAACATAAATTTGCACTCTATTTAAGATGAACACGTGATAAAAAAAAGATATTATTTTGATAACAAATCCAACTAACGAAATATATACACACGAGAATATAGTATCGCGTTGACTAGAAACTTACATGTATAAATGCCCATAATGTCTTCTTCTTCGCCCATCCGTACACGTCATCAAATGGTGGCGTTCTTACGTTGCTTTGCTTTATATAAATCTAATGTTTAGTGGTTGGGTAGCCAATTTAATGGAGACTAGACCTAATACTAATGCTCATTTCCTTAAAGTTTACTAGTGTAATATGTTGACGAAGATATAGAAGAGAAATAAATAAATTACTTGGCATCATTTAGTGCTCTCGTGCCCTTAGTTCCCTCGCACGAGTTCTTAGTTTGAAGTGGATCATGAAAGTATCCACTAATGTGCCCATATTATCACTGTTAAAATTAATATAAAGCAATAATTCTCAATCCTTATCATAACTTCGGAGTTTTTGTTTAATGGTTAGAATAGCTAAATTAAAGATGGTGTCAGAGCAGTCCATGTTTAAATCTCACCGGCCACAAATTTTAAATGAATTTTCTAAAATTTGACACCGCTACGTGATTCTAGCTTTTAAGCCCATAAAAAAGGGCGTCAAACCTGCGAGGGCGTGTTAAAATTAATATAAAACTATAATTCTCGAAGTTAATCTCCAAGTTTTTTTTTTTGTTATGGGAAGAAGAATCCTTTTGCATTAGCGTGTTAATCTCCAAGTTTTTTTTTTTGTTATGTCACATTTGTGTGTCACATTTTCTAAAATCCCGAAAATATCGTAACATTTTGAGAAACCAAAGGAATTATCTCGCCCCGTGCAAAAGTGAATGGAAGCACCCTCTATCCGAGAAGAGCTAACAAATTTGTGTCACGCTTGGAAAAATCAATTAAAATGCGCTTACGCTTGGAAAATCTAGGGGTGATGCTCTTAAGACTTTGGGGAAAAAAAGAAAAATAAAACATTTGTTCTATTGACAATTCAACTACATCATTTCCTCAATTTTATGTAATTCACGCATCACGTACACCCAAATATTGATTTTATATTAATGCAAGAATAGACGACTCTTCAAGCACTTTCAGTCCACGGAGTGAAAAGTGATGGCCGAACAATATGTGAGGCCCATGGCTTGTATCCCAAAATACGGGCCCCTTAATAATTTTTGATTGATAAGTTAGGCTTTGTTAATTGATAAAGGCCCATGAACTTGTAGCTATTTGAAATTGGCTTCAACTTACAAGTAAATAAACACTCTTTATTTTAATTATTACTAACTACTGTTGTGCAGCCGTGCAAAACACGACCTCTATTTTTTTTTATTTCTGCTACAGTAATTATGTATTTAAATATAATTTTTGTAAGTGTTACAATATCACTTTTAAAATGCTACAGCATCCCACTTGAGCTACAATAATAATGCTACAATAATATTTTTAAACGTTACCGTTCACGCTTGTGCTACAGTACTAACGCTACAGTAATTTATTGCAGCATGAATAGTGAATCTCAAATCTTTCTTGGCATAGTAACAATACTGTGGTAATTTACTGTAGCATTTTACTATAACATGAATAGTGAATCTCGGATCCTCCCATTATTACAGAGGAATATATACCGGCTTAATTGAAATTAGCTTTAACTTCAATTAGATAAAGACTCTTTTCTTCGATTTTCTCCATCTAAGTTATTGAATTTGAATATACTTTATCTGGATAGAATTGATATAAATGTCCGTGATCTCCCTTTGCTCTATAACGTTATCCTTCAAAGTTCTCTATGGCTATGTAATTGTAGATATATCACTTGTATTGCGACGATATAGTCATTTATACTCCCGAAATTATTTTATTAGCACTTACATTCAATGTAAAAAATGATGTGTTTATGTATTAAAACATTTTCATAAGTATTAGATAGCTAAAGTATGAGTAGCCTAGTGGCGCATAAACAATTTCAAAATGAGGCTTTGTAATCTTCCTCTTTAAGTTGGGAATCTGCATGAGAGCAAAGTTTCAACTTTTAAGGATTAGTTTCCATTACTTTTTCTCCTCTCGGTGCCGCTCACCTGAGTTTTCCAACTAATCTGTGTTGCTGCCTACTATGTGTTAACCACTATTTTCCAATAAAGGATTATTAATATTTAAATAATCAAAGATGGTACTTTGTTTCTTAGTTTTTTAATGCTGAAACGAAAGGAAAAGGACATGTAGTCCAACACACAAATCAATATCTAATAAGCTATTGCTCCTTTAAAAAGTTAAAAGAAGGAAAACTATCTGATAAGCTATTAAACTAGTTGCGTGCAAAGAAGGAAAAAAAGAAAATGAAAAAGAATGAGACGTATAGCTGCCAATTATTATTAAAGCTTATATTGTTTATATTCAAAGAGATTAATGGGTATCCTACTATCCTTGTCATAGAAGGGGATTTACTTCTTGACGCCTATGTGTCACAATCTCCATCATCCTCATAAAATAGGAGAGAGTGTGTGTGAGTTGATGGGGATTTGCGGGGATTGTGCCACATAGGCGACAAGGAGGGAAATCTCCTCCTATGACAAGGAAACCTATTAACCTCATATTCAAATGCTACAATTGCTCTTTCACAGTTCAAATCCCCTTAGGTTTGAGCGCTTTCACGAACACACGAAGCCTTCTTACAGGAATAGTAGAAATATAGTTGCATTCATTTTGAACTGCAAAGTTCTTTGTTTATTGAAAGTTGCAGGTGTAACTTCAATTCTTCTGATGGAATTTCTGTTGAAATTAGATAATGTGAACCATCCAACTAAACTACTTGGACTTCTCTAGTTGTCTGCAGACAATCGCCTCCAGAATTACACAGCTTGAAGAGAAAGTAGAAGAATACTTAACTGCAGGTAGGCAGTTGTGAAATTTTATGAAACAGGCTTCTGAAAATGACATCAATCTAGAAATACTGACATTAAAACAACCTTCAATATATTGCCATTTTAATATCCATCATGGCATCATGCTGATTTCTAAGCATACATCCAAATTGTGCCTGTTTTGAGGTATAAATGAAGGCAAAAATCATTTTGAGTAAACTTCACAATATGGTCCATGGAATTCGAAAGATACGTAATCATAGATGTTATCTCAAAGTTCTCCATAGCACATAACTAGCTCCCCCCCCCCCCCCCCCCCCCCCCCCTTGATAGAAGCACATAATTAGCTTTGTATGAGTTAAATCATACTCTGCTGGGTGAAAACTTTCCTAGTTTCAGGTAAAACCAATGTGCTTAACTAAATAAGCATCATGCTCATATGAACAGAGTATAACTACAGAAGCATAAAACTTGAAGGGGACACATAAAGAATCTAACTGATATGTCGACAAGATCAATAGGCTTTGCAACATATTTCTGTAGGTTATCATTGAACACTATATATCATAAAGTTTTATGATACAAGACATAAAAAAAATCAACTGGGATTTTTGACATTACAGATTCAAATTGCTTCACCTATTTGCCAAAATTCGCCTCTTCTCTTGGATTGTATCTGTCTGACTTGCCAGCTGGTTCTCGCCCTAGCTTGCGTTCCTGTAGTAGAATTTGATGAAAAAAATATAGGGCAGACACATGATTAATTCTTTTAGCGAAGGACGAACATGTAATTTAGTCGATTCTTTACAGAACTTTCTCCTCTTAGAGTTGTGGTCCATGGGTCATAGTAGAAGCGTATTTTTGGAAAAGGGTAAATATCGTGTCTGACGGCAATTAGGGTAGTGTTCATGTGCAAATATATAACATATTTTTTGAACAACTTTGTCCTTACGTACTTTTTATATCTTCCCTATCACCTCCCCCCTCTCTCTCGCTTCCAGGGGTAGTCTACGCTTACTAGTTAATATCCAAGTTGTTAGCAGCAATTTTCATTTGTTCATGATATTTTATAGTTTTGCAAAGTTCACCTTGGTTCCTTATAACAAAAAAAGTTTATGGTCTCGTCCAAAAAACCCCATAATTCTAGTAGTTATGTGAAATTTACCCAATGAAAAGATTGAGATTATGACAACAAAAATGTTTCTATATGATACAATGTTGTTTGAGTTCTAGAGGATTAGTTTGGTTTTACCTCTCGAAATGACAAATCTTCAACTTCAAGCATGTGGATGACATGCCCCATTTTAGGCCGTCTTTGTGCATCAGGGTCAACACACTGAAGAGCCACAAGAAGTGCTCTCTTCAGTGCCTTTGGTGAAGGCTTCTCTGCCATCTTTGGATCTATTACTTGCTCAAACTTTCGATCTCTAACCAATGTTCTTAACCATTCAACTAGACTCACCTACAGAAAGGGATTAGAAAATTGAAGTTCAGACTGAATCTGTAAAAGTATTAATCGCAAATATGCTCTCTATACTATTATGTACCATATATGCTGGTGTAGCCACTTATATCACCTGAACTTTTCTATAAGCACTTACACCCCCTACAACACATACATTATTACTTTCTTACTCTCAATATAAAGGGCAGTTTAGTCTTTTCCAGTTAAAACGAGGGCAAATTATTGCACATAGGCCCCCTGTAGTATTGTTGTTTTCAACTTACTACTCATGTAGTCTCATTTACCCTCAGGTAGACTCGCCAGTTTCACCCTGGGACAATATCTGAAAATTTCACCAAGGTAAAAGAGTCGGAATTTTTTTAACCAAAGGGATCTATCTGCAACAATGAGACCACATGGGTTGTAAGTTGAAAACAGCTATGCTACAGGGGGTCTATGTGCAGTTAACACAAGGAATTTATCATCCTGTGGCATCCAATACATGCAAGTGTGAATAAAATACTTTATGGGGTATAAACGGTTAGAAAAGGACTGAAAATGCAGTAGTTTGGTAAGAGGGCAACCTCTCTCGGTGTTCTTGTGTTATCCACTGGGGCTCTCCCCGATATGATCTCCATTATAAGTACTCCGAAGCTGTAAATATCACTTTTCTCATTCAACATTCCAGTGCTTGCATACTCAGGGGCCACATAGCTATAATGACGAAAGAAATTTCTAATCATATAGTTTTTTAATAGTAAATAAATTAACATTCATCGAGAAAACACTTGAAGAACTAACCCAAATGTTCCCATGACTCGAGTCGTTACATAGGTTTTCTCAGAGCATATAAGCTTGGCTAGACCGAAATCAGATACCTTTGCGTTCCACTGTGCATCGAGTAATATGTTGCTAGATTTCACATCTCTATGGACTACCTTTGGCTCCAAGCCCTCATGGAGATACACTAGTCTGCGACAAAAGAAACAAAGTGTTAAAGCTTCGTTTGGTTCACATAGTACTCTTTCTCCTAATCAAATTAGAGCCCGGCTTGCATTGTTACAGTTTTACCTGTTTAAATGACTTACATAAAGATCTCAAAATGCATAGTAAAAAATGTAAAAAAAGAAAAAGAGAAAGTGCATTATTACCCTTTTGCAGTTCCGAGTAATATGTTCATCCTAATATCCCAAGTGAGTGGACTCACTTCGCCAACATCCCCATGAAGCCATTGATCCAAATTCCCGTTGTCAACGTACTCATAAACAAGCATCCTGTTCAAACAAAATAATAATAATAATAATGATAATCAAATTAGTAATCTTTTTCTTTACAAAAAATTGCATGTTCAATGCCAAAAAAAATTATTTTGACAAACAATTGAAAAGTACCTATGGGCCCCTTCAACGCAATAACCAAGCAATCTAACCAAATTCTTGTGTCTCACTCGCCCAATCGCGCCCACCTCTACTTTAAATTCCTTCTCAGCTTGTCCCCTAAAAAAAAGCGGGGAAAAAACATTCTAACACACAAAAGATATGTAAAATTTACTTTAAACCCATGCTTTACCTTCATTTATTTACAAACCCACACGTATTTCTCATTCACAATGACGTTCTAAAAAACTCTAATAAAAAATAGGGTTTAAATTTTACAAAAAAAAGTACAAAAAAAACAACTTTTTTTTTTAAAAATTTACCAAACAAACCTATTATTCAAGAGGTTTTTGACAGCGACGACGGTCCGATCACTCAAACCCCCGATAAACGATCCGTAACCCCTTCGCCGATCACATTCTCATCGCGCGAACTGCTCCGTCGCCGTCTCAAGTCCCTTAACGTGTACCAACGCCCCACCCCAAATGCGACACGTCCGGCGGCCGAGCAGGGCAGCTTCTCGGCGGCGTCGGAAGCGGTAGCCGGAAATTAGCTCCGGAGACGACGACGGCGAATGGAGGAGGCGACATGGGGAGAATTTCTTTGGAAATTGGGGAGTGGATTCGTTGAAGAGGAGTTTTTAAGGTGGTCTGCGAGAGGAGGAGAGGGAAGTGGCGGAGTTGGAGACGGGGCGCGGCGGCGTAGGCGGAGGAGGAGGGCGCCGGCGGCGCGGCATGAAGATTCCGATGATGATGATGATCCAGAGCTTGAGGCCGAAAGATGGACGTTTTGCTGAGAAATAAGTTTGGGCAAAATTGACATCCTGAAAAAAAAAGTTTGGCGGGAAAATGAAATTGAGAGGAGTAGAGAGTGAACGAAGTAAGAGGAAGAAGTGAAGAAAATATATATATATATATATATATATATATATATATATGAGAAAACGGGAGGTGAGCTGGCAGCGTAGGAAATTTCCTACGCTGCAAGTGTATGACATGTGAACCCCACACCGATGTGACTAGTAGGGGGCTCACATGTCATACACTTATAGCGTAGGAAATTTCCTACGCTGCCAGCTCACCTCCCGTTTTCTCATATATATATATTCTAATTTGTTTATTGGGGAAATATAGGTTTACTGTGCATAAGGTTTTAAGAAGAGAGGAGGTGTGACTATCAAGATTGAAGAACCTTTTTTTTTTCTTTCTTTTTTCATTTTGTTACTTTTTAAGAAAAGAAGAAGAGGTGGGTTTTAGAGCCAAGAATGGTATTCGGTTTGACCGTTCCAAGTAGCGGTGAGAATAGTGCATTCGAACTTGGCAATATTTTTACATGACCCCATGACTCTCGCTGCCGATTTGCAGATAACCCCCTCAAAAAAAACCCCCTACCCACCTAATATGTTTTGGCCAGATATCCTCAATAAAATCCATGTGCAAGCACAGAAAAAATCGATTGGAATTTTGTCTTAATAAATCCTCTACAATAACTGTTGTAAATAAATACAATTTTGAGTATGTGTTTTTTAAAATTTCAAATTAAGACACAAACTTCTTAAAAAAAAAAAGAAAGGAAGAATTTCAAATTAAGACACTGGATACAACTATTGCAAGCTCATTATGTGATTATCTGGATTCATCAAAGAATAGAGACTAACAGCAATTCTTGTACGTCTTTCTATCAATCAGATATTCTAGCTGATAATTTTCCACCTTTCGATAGTTTTAATCCAGAGAATTAACCCCTAGAAGAAAACGCTCGTCAATGAACTCATCCACAAGCCCCTGGCAGACTGCTTCCCTCAACAAAGCTCTCAACATCCCAAGAACAAATGTGGTAATATGTTAAGAGTCTCGCTTCAAAATTCAAGCTTCAAGCTTCTCAGAGAAATAAGCTCGCAAACGGAACGAAGATTACCCGAATTTCCTTTAGTTGATAAAGAACGATGATACAAAACAAGTAGAAAAGAGCACAGCAAAAGCAGCACCAAATGTTTTTGAGGTCAGGTGAAAATCTCTATGGCAGCAGGTAAAATTAAGCACTTCGCTGGAAGAAACCCAAAATGCTCCCCATCAGATTGCACAAAGATATCCCCTCTGCTTGTTACCTCTGCTATTTCGATGGATTTCACACTGCACCAGCAAAATATCAGAGAGATGTCTTTCAATAGAAAACAAAACTAGTGTCAATGTGAAATAAAGCACAATTTACCTCCTCGTATATACATTTTTCTCTGAAATATGTGATCCATTGTATAGCTTATGTAGTTTAAGAACAAAGTCATACCACTTGAAATCTTGAAGAATAACCACCTGAACATAAATGCACTTTCAGTATTCTGTTTTTAAATAATCGACAGGCCAAAGAAGAAGAATAGGTATAGGTAAAATCGGAAAAGCACCTCCAAGTTTCCGTTGGAAGGATCAGCTGTTGGAGTAATCTTCATGCCACCACCAAAGAACTTTGCATTTCCAATGCAAAGGGCAGTTACTTTGTTGCATACCTCCCACTCTCCATCATCCACCTGTATATACGCAGTTAATATTGATAAATATAGGACTAGCAAGAGATAGTGCTGAGGTCCACACCTTTTGATGTGACTAGCAAGGTAGGTCTCACCACATGGCTATCTCTTGGTAGCTCATTTAGCAAAATGAGCCGTCACCTCATACCCATTATTTTCTAAATATATCATATTTGGAAATGTTGGGTCATATACTACATAAGACAGTGTCCAGTGATCCCGATCAGTAACATTTGTGGTGCATCAACGATATGTCAACCTTCGGATCACTAGACTTGGGGATTGTGCACTGATCCAAGGGCTAGCATCTCTTTGGTGCACCATTACTCGCATTGATCAGGTCCACTAGATATTTTCTCTATACAGGATAGAGAAAGTATAGAGATTAATGTTAAAGTGCTAAATCACTGACCTTGATTTTAAGGTCCCAATTATTATGTCCAATAAAGGCTCGCAAAGCTCCTATAACATAGCATAGATTCCCAAATCTTTTATACTTGGAGGCATAATAACCTGCTTTCGCACTCCTGACAGTTATCAAAAGGAAAAAAAAGAAGCTTTCAAATTATTATTGGCATCAGTCACAACAAACCAAGTTGAAATCAAGTACAGATTCTTACAAATGAATGTCAGCAACGTTAATGAAAAAATGCTTCTCTCCACTGCTTCCACTAATAACACCAACATCTATCTTAGACCTTAATCCTGCATGTGGAAATGAGATAAAGCTTAACTGTTAAATATGATAATTAAAATGTTATTCACTTGTACATATAAAGTCTTTCACTTTACCACGGAAGACCTCATATAATTGCACAAATTTATAAAAGTCTACTTATATCCTTAACTTATTTAGTAAAACCATGTCAAACTCAAGAATTTCTCACTTCCCCCAATGTGATGAGATCTGTATTTTTATACAGTTTAGTAAACTAATAACAATTGCATGAGTATAATCTTTTCCTTTTCCTGCATGAATCCAAGTGTTGTTTCCAAAAGAGAAGTCTAGTGACCATTTAATGCAGTAAAGTACTGAAATTTTATTTATATTTTAAACCACGTATAATTTAAAGTAGATATTTATTTTGAGGATATTTTCTGATCTTTGAAGTAATATAGGTCGAGTGCAAGAGATACTTTTCTAAAAATTTTGGTGAGTTTCCAACGAAAGTAAATTTGTTATGTGTACATCAAAATTTGCGATTTTCATAGGCTATAACACACATTTTAAAACAATATGATTCGTTTTGAAATAAATTGTGTATATCAAAGTTTAAGATATCATGGGCTTTGATGTATATGCACAACCCAATCCCCGCTTTTCAAATTTATAATATAATTGATTTAAGCCAGTCCTTATTTTAAATCTAAAAATCAAAATACAATCCTAAGAAAATTTCCCTTGACAACGATAAATGTTGTATACATAAATCCTAGATGTGATAATAGGCACAATTCATCCACGGAAGGGTATAAAATAAAAACCCATGACTTTTGACAATTTTAGTTAATTTCGAATGAAAGTAATTAATTATGTGCATATCAAATTTTGTGATTTTCATAGGCTAAAGTTCACCAAATTTTCAATTTTCGCTCATTTCAGACGAATGTAAATTTATAATGTGTACTTCAAATGTTGCTATTTTCATAGCTATATAACCCCACAATTTTTACAATTTTCGTTCGTTTTAAACGGATATAAACAATTTATGTGTACATCAAAATTCATGATTTAACAATTTATGTGTGCATCAAAATTCGTGATTTTCATGAGCTATAACCCAAGATTTTTGTTGATTTTGGTTCGTTTTTAACGAAAACAAACTTATTATGTGTACATCAAAATTTACGTCTTTCGTGGGCAATAACCCATGATTTTTAAAAAATTTGGTTCGTTTCCAAGAAAAATGAAATTATAATATATACATAAAAGTTTGCAATTTTATGGGATCTAACCCATGAATTTTGATAATCTTGGTTCATTTAGAAGAATGTAAATAAATTATGTGTAAATCAAATTTGCGATTTTCAGGGTCTATGACCCATATTTGTTGACAGTTTTGGTTCATTTCAAACAAAAGTAAATTTCATATCTATCAAAATTTCTGATTCTCATTGGCTATAACTCATGAATTTTTCTATTTTTGTTCATTTTGAAAATGTAAATTCATCATCTGTAGATCAAAATTTGCTATTTTCATGGGCTATAACTCATAATTTTTGATAATTTTGGTTCGTTTTAGACGAGTATAAATAAATTATGTGTACGTCAAGATTTGTGATTTTCATGAGCTATAAACCAAGGTTTTTGTCAATTTTGAATCATTCCGAACGAAATTAAAGTTGCTATGTGTACATCAAAATTTTTAGGATTTTCATTGGCCATAATATAACTCATGATTTTTGACAGTTTAGGTTCGTTTCAAACAAAAATAAACTTATTATACATGTACCAAAAAATTCATGGGCTATATAGGCCACAAATTTTATCAGTTTTGGTTTGGTTCAACCAAAAGTAAACTTAATACGTGCACATCAAAATTTCTGATTTTCATGGCTATAATGCACAAATTTATCAATTTTGGTTTGTTTCGAATTAAAGTAAAATTAATATGTACATCAAAAAATTTTGTTTTCATGGGCTATAATGCACGAATTTTTTCATTTTTCGGTTTTTTTCAAGAATAGAAAATTTATTACATAAAAATTTGTAATTATTATGAGTACCCACAAATCTTCCGATTTTGGCACGTTTCAAATGAAAGTAAATTTGTTATGCGTACGACAAAATTCGCGATTTTCATGAAGTATAACTTATGAATTTTGTCAATTTTGACTTGTTTTGAATGAAATTAAATTTATTATGTGTATATCAAAATTCATGATTTTCCTTGGCTTCGCTATAACTCGCTAATTTTAACAATTTTTTTCTTTTCAAACAAAAGAAAAATTGTCAAAAAATCATGATTTTTATGAGTTATAATCTACATTTTGTCAATTTGTGTTCATTCCGGACAAAAGTAAATTTATTATGTGCACATTAATTTTTTGATTTTTGTTCCTTTCAAACAAAAGTATAGTCATAACATGTACATCAACATTTGAGATTTTTAGAAGCTATAACCATGAACGAATGAAAGTAAATTTATTATGTTAACGTTAAAATTTGCGATTTTCATGACCTATAACCCAAGATTATTGACAATTTTTGTTTGCTTTAAACGAATGTATATAAATTATGCGTACACCAAAGTTTTTTATTTTCATGATTTTGGTTAGTTTTGAACAAATGTAAATAAATTGTGTACATTAAAATTCGTGATTTTGATGAGCAATAAATTTGTTTATTATGTATACATAAAATTTTCATGGGCTTTAACCAATGAATTTTTCAAATTTTGTACATTTAGAACAAAATAAAATTTATTATGTCAAAATTCGTTATTTTCTCAGCCATAAACCACGAATTTTCCAATTTTTGTTTGTTTTGAATTAGAGTAAATTTATTATACATCAAATTAGCTTTTTCATGGGCTATAACCTACAAACTTTTTAATTTTGGTTCATTTCAAAGTTCGAACAAAAATAAATTTATTATGAGTACATCAAAATTTTCAATGAGCTATAATCCATGATTTTTAATAATTTTGATTCATTTTGAAAGAACATAAAAAATTATATGTACATCAAAATTACAATTTTCATAGGCTAGAAGCCCACAAATTTCCAATTTTGGTTCATTTAGAATGATAGCAAATTTACTATGCGTACATAAAACTTTTACTTTCATGAGTTATAACTCATGATTTTTGATAATTTTGGTTCATTTCGAATGAATGTAAAGTTTTATTTGTATGTTAAAACTTGTGAGTTTTATAGGCTATCCCCACTATTTTAGACAATTTTGGTTCGTTTTGAACATATATAAATAAATTATGCCCATCAAAATTTACAATTTTCATTTGTTATAACCCATAAATTTTGCAGACTGATTGTTTTTAAGAATATGACATTTATTATGTCGAAATTCACAATTTCATGATCTACAACCCTTGGTTCGTTTCAAATAAAAATAAATTTAAATTATGTATATCAAAATTTACGATTTTCATGACCTATAGCCCACAAGTTTTGTCAATTTTAGTTTGTTTTAAACGAAAGTAAGTTTATTATGTGTACGCCCAAATTTATGATTTTCATGAGTTATAACTTTCAGTTTTTAACATATTTGATTCGTTCGAATGAAAGTAAAATTTACTATATATACATCAAAATTTAGGATTTTCATTCAGTATAAACCACAAATTTATCATATTTGGTTTATTTTGAAGGAAAGTAAATTTTATTATACGTACATCAAAATTTGCTAATTTCACAATTTATAAACCATAAATTTTGTCATTTTTATTCATTTTAAACAAAAGTAAAATTATTATTTGTATATTAATTTTTAAGGGCAACAACCCATGATTTTTGACAATTTTAGTCCGTTTTAAATAAAAAAATGGGTTCTTTCATAGAAGCCACTTTGAAACTAGGATAATTATACATAAGCCACTTTTGAATTTAAATTTATTCATAGACCATTTTTAGACTTTTTTTGTTACAATCAACCACCTAATCTCACTTTGAAATGTTGTATTCGATTTTACTAGAATAATTAGCTTTCGAATAGCAAGTATATTAGAAAGATGGTCCTCAGTAAAGGTTAGATGGGATCAATTACCCAAAAAAAATAAGGGGGGTTAGTCACCTAGAACTTAAAATTAGAACTAGGATAATCTGTGAGATAATTTTTTAAGGTGTTAGTCACATAGAACTAAAACTAGAACAAAATTTTACAGTGTTAGTCAAGTAGCACATAGAACTAAAACTAGAACAAAATTTTACAGTGTTAGTCAAGTAGAACTCTAACAAAATTAGAATTGGGATAATGGTACAAAATTTTACAGTGTTAGTCAAGTAGAACTCTAACAAAATTAGAATTGGGATAATGGTACAAAATTATCCCATTTTTTTTTCATTTTTCTATACAAAAATGAGAGTTCTAGTCTCTCAAATTATTCCAAATTTTAGCTTGGAACTAGGTGGTAAAAAACTAGAACTTATATTTATTTTGTTATTTTTTATTTTTTATATTTCTTTTTTTATCTTTACTTCTTTCCTATTATGGTTATCACCATTAGACCATCATAATAATAATAATTGTCAATATCTTATAGTCTAACGAAAAGTTATTTAATAGTAAAGACCATTCTTGTAAGCAATTATAAATCAATAATAATAAGTTTAAAATACATAAATAATATTTATATCTTCAAAATGCATAAATATATATTTCATGATTATAAAAATTTATCCCACATTATTTTATCAAAATATCCTGCTTCACAAAATTATTCCTATTTATCCCACTAAAATATCCCACTAGCGAAAAATTATTCTGCTTTAATAATTATCCCAATTTGCATTAAAATATCCCAATTGACTAACACCCCCTAATTGAAAAGTGGCTCGGGTGGTTGCTTGCAACAAAATTCTTTATGGGTGGTTTGTGTAAATTGAAATCGAAGTTGGTTTCTAGAGAATGATCCTATATTAAAGATGATTTCTTAAAAAAACTCAAAAGAGAATTTAATATCCAGACATCAAAATTTGCATTTTTCAGGAGGTATAACCCACGAATTTTTCAATTTTGATTTATTTTGAATGATAATCAATCTATTATGTTTATAACAAAATTTTGAACGAATGTAAATAAATTATGCGTACATCAAACTTCACAATTTCATGACCTATAACACATGAATTTTTCAAATTTTGTTCGTAATGAACGGATGTAAGTAAACTATATGTACATCGAAGTTTGTAATTTTCATAACTTATAACTCAAGTTTTTTATCAATTTTTATTTGTTTCAAACGAAAGTACATTTATTATGTGCACGTCAAAATTTGTGATTTTCATGGACTAACCCATGATTTTTTACAATTTTGAACGAAAGTAAATTTGTTATATGTACACAAAATTTGTGATTTCATAAGCTACAACCAACTATTTTTGACAATTTTGGTTCGTTTTAAATAAATGTAAACAATTATGTGGACATTAAAATTTGCAATTTTCATTGCTATAACTCATGACTTTTGACAATTTTAGTTCGTTTCGGACAAAAATAAATTATTATATGTACAACAAAATTTATGATTTTTGTAGGCTATAATGCATAATTTTTTTTTAACTTTAATTCGTTTCGATCAAATATAAATATTTATGCGTACATCAAAATTCGCTATTTTTATAGGCTATAACCCATAATTTTTGAGAATATTGTTTTTTTTCAATGAATATAGAAAAATTATGTGAACATCAAAATTCACGATTTTTATGGTCTATAACCCACGTTTTTTGACAATTTTGGTTTGTTTCGAGTGAAAGTAAATTTATTATGCGTAGATCAAAATTTACAAGTTTTGTGGGCTAAAATCTATAAATTTTTTAAATTTGCTCCGTTTCAAATAATAGAAAATTACTTATGTCAAAGTTCACAGTTTTCACAAGCTATAATCCATAAAATTTTTAGTTTTAGTTCATTCCGAATGAAGTATATTAATTGTGTACATCAAGAATTCGAGATTTTTATAAGCTATACCCTACGGGTTTTGTCAATTTTGATTCGTTTCAGAAGAAATTAAATTTATTATGTATGTTAAACTTTGTGATTTTGATAGCTATTATCCATTTTTTTCACAACTTTGGTTCATTTCGAATGAAAGAAAATTTACTGTCAAAAATCGTAATTTTCATGAGCTATAAATTGGATTTTTTTTAATTTTTGTTCATTTCAAATGGAAGGAAACTTACTACGTACATCAAAATTTGCAATTTTCGTCGGCTATAACCCATAATTTTTTATACTTTTTGTTCTTTCTAACGAAAGTTTATTACGTGTACAACAAAATTTGCGATTTCCATGAGTTATAACCATAAAATTTTCACTTTTAGTTTGTTTCAAATAAAATAAAATTTATTATATTTTAATCAAAAATTGTGATTCTCAGGGGCAATAATCCAAGATTTTTGACTATTTTCGTTCTTGTTGAGCAGATTAAATATATTATGTGTACATTAAAATTTACGAATTTTATGAGCTTTAAGCCACGAGTGCTGATAGCCGGTTCATATTTAAAGAATATAAATAAATTATGCGTATATCAAAATCCGCAATTTTGATAACTATACATCATGATTTTTGTCAATTTTGGTTTGTTCCGAACAAAAATAAATTTATTGTGTACATCAAAATATGCATTTATCATTAGCTGTAACCCATGAATTTTTTTACTTTTAGTTTGTTTCGAACAAAGGAAATTTATTAAGTTTACATCAAAATTTGCCATTTTTATGGGTAATAATCCATGATTTTTGACCATTTTTGTTCGTTTTGAATGAATATAAATAAATGATCTGTACATTAAAATTCACTACATTCATGAGATAACCACGAGTTTATCAATTTTGCTTTGTTTTGAACGAAAGCAATTTATAATGTGTGCATCAAAATTGTGATATTCGTAGGCTATAACTCACGGTTTCCGACAATTTTTGCTCATTTCTCGCAAAAGTAAATTTATGATGTGTAGAGACCAATATTTGCAAGTTTCATGAGGTATAATCCAGAAAATTTTCAATTTTTTGGTTTATTTCAAATGATAATTAGCTTATTATGTATACATAAAAGTTTGCGATTTTCATAGGCTATAATCCATAAATTTTAACAATTTGGTCAGTTAAATTTGTTATGTATACATCAAAATTTACGATTTTCATAAGTTGTAACCTATGATTTTTGACAATTTTTTGTTCGTCTCGAATGAATGAAAATAAATTATGTGTACATCAATGTCTATGATTTTCATGGGCTATAACCCACAAATTTTTAAGTTTGGTTCGTTTCAAACAAAAGAAAATTTATGATGTTAAAATTTGCGATTTTCATGAGTGACAACCTATAAATTTTTCGATTTTGGTTTATTTCGAACAGAAGTAAATTTATTATGTCTACATCAAAATTTCACTATAGCCTACAAATTTTGTTACTTTTCGTTCGTTTTAAATGAAAGTAAATTTATATATATACGTTAAATTTTGTGATTTTCATGGGCTATAACCTATGATTTTTTTTTTGACAATTTTAGTTTCTTTTATACCAATGGATTTTTATAATTTTGGTTCGTTTCAAATAAAAGTAAATTGTTACATGTTCATTAAAATTTGAGATTTACCTGTGCTATAATCCACGATTTTTTATATCTGGTTCGTTTTATTTCGAACGACATCTTTTATTATTTGTACCTCAAATTTTGCGAAATTCATGAGCCCTAACCCACAAATTTTGTTAATTTGATTCGTTTTGAACAACAATAAGTTTATTATGTTTACATCAAAATTTACGATTTTCATGGGCTATAACTCATGATTTAAAAAAAAATTGTTCAACTCCATAAAAATAATTATTATATGTAGATTATAATTTGCAATTGCACGAGGTATAACTCAAGAATTCTTCAATTTTGGTTTGTTTCGAATAGTAGTAAATTTATTGCGTGTACATAAAAAATTATGATTTTTATAGGGTACAACCCATAAACGTAAAAATCTTGGTTCATTTTGAACAAATATAGACAATTATTTGTACATTGAAATTCACAATTTCTATGAGCTAAAACCCACTAGTTTTTTAAATTTTGGTTCATTTTGAACGAATAAAAATAAATTGTGTAAATCAAAATTCATAATTTTCATGAGCTGTAACTCACGAAGTCACGATTTTCTGTCAATTTTGCTTCGTTTCAACGGAAGTAAATTTAGCATGTGTACATCCAAATTTGTGAGTTTCATGTGCTATAACCCATGATTTTTACAATTTTGATTCGTTTCAAATGAAAGCAAATTTGTTACGTGTACATCAAAGTTTGTGAATTTCATTAGCTATAATCCACGATTTGTTAATGATTTTAGATCGTTTTTAAAAAATTGTGCATCAAGATTTGTGATTTTCATTGGATATAATTCATGATTTTCAACAATTTTAGTCATTTCCAATGAAATAAATTTATTATGTACACATCAAAATTTCTAATTTTCCATAGGCTAACTCACAAATTTTTCAATTTTGGTTGGTTTCAAATGAATGTAAACTTATTATGTATACATCACATTTTGTTATTTTCATGGGCTATAAGCAATAATTTTTTACAATTTTAGTTCGTTTTAAATGAATATAAATAAAAATTTGTGATTTTCATAAGCTATAACCTATGATTTTTCTCAATTTGGTACATTTCGAACGAAAATAAATTTATTGTGTAAATAAAATTTTGTAATTTTCATAGGCTATAACCCACAACTATTGATAATTTTGGTTTGGTTTGAATGAATGTAAATAAATTATGTGTACATCAAAATTTGCGATTTTCATGAGCTAAAAGCCATGAATTTTATTAATTTTTGGTTCACTATCAACAAAACTAAAATTTATTATATGTAAATTAAAATTCGCGATTTCATGGGCTATAACCCATGAAATAATTTTGGTTCGTTTGGAAAAATAGAAAGTTCATTATCCTCAAAATTTATGTTTCATGAGCTCTAGTCCGTGAATGTTTCAATTTTGTTTCATTCCGGATGAAAGCAAAGTTATTGTGTACAAACCCCAAAACATTGCTAATTTTGGTTCATTTCGAATAAAATTAAATTTATTTTGCGTACATTAAAATTTGCGATTTTAATAGGCTATAATCCATTATTTCTGATAATTTTTGTTCGTTTCGAATGAAAGAAAATTTACTAAATCAAAATTCGTGATTTTCATAAGCTATAACCCATAATTTTTATTACTTTTTTGTTCATTCTAGACATAAGTATATTTATTATGTATATATCAAAATTTGTGAGTTTCATAGACTATAACCCCATGAATTTATTTACCTTTAGAATATAGTATCTGTTTCCAAACATCAATTTCTAGCACTTCCCATTTCTGATCTAATGTGACTTGAGTTTACATCTCATTCATATATTCTCTACATAATTACTCTTTTTAATCCCTTTTCGTAGCATAGAATAAAATTGAAATTAAATTTATTTTTAGTAAAAAATTCTAATTTGCTAGTGATATGCTGAAGAAATTTAGAAAATAAAAAAAGAAAAATATGTGCTTAAGTTTTTTATTTATTTACTTTCTTCCTCTGACTACATCCTTTGACTCCATTTCATGAAAAAGTATTCATGTGTTTCAGTATTTATTTATCCTTTTCACTTTGAGCTGTATCTTGGACTGTTTCTTTGAATATCAGTGAGAAAAAAAAATGAGAGGACTGTATGTAGACTAAGGAGATAGTTACCATTTCATACATTATTAATGTATGTAGGCCTGTAATCGTTGAAATTTGTCAAATCGAACCTCTGACTATAACTTCCATGAATGCAACTAAATTTAATTGAAGAGCAAGTGACAAACTTATGAAATTGCAGATAGAACATAAAGAGACCAGTTGGGTATAACAAACCCCTTGCAATCCGCTCCACGGCATCATAAGGATCATTTTTCCTAATTAAAGCAACATTTCATCATTCAGTGAGAAATGAAAACAACCAATCCTGTAAATATCAATCAGACAAATGAAAAACATAAAACTAACCAGCCAAATGTTCTAGCAAAGTCTGAACCGGTCCCCAGTGGAATAAGCTGAAACATCAGATGGAACAAAACATTTATGAGGTACAAATTATAATAAAACGAAATCAAGATTGTGTTCCACAGAAACACAAATTAGCATTAACTATAAGAAACAATCTTCATTTTTCATAGTTCAAAGTGAGCCAATCAAATATAAAGCTGAGTTTCAGAAAGATTAGGAAACCATAAGAGTACTTACTCCAAGTGTGGTTGAATGCTCTGGACCAAGGTCAACAGAGGTGACTGGATTTCCCGCCCAAAAGAAACCATTCACTACCTGATAATTAAAAACAAAAACATACATCGCAGCTTCAGATATCTTTGGATGAGAACAATGATAGACTGTCTTACAATAAAAACTGGGTTTCAGAACATCTTAAACTAAAAAGTAGCAGAGAGAAATGCACAAAACCATGAGAAAAGCTATAAACTACTTTTGCAAGTAAGAATGTATAAACAAGTTCTCAAAAAAGTGGAGGAAGCAAAGTCAATTGATCGTCACATGAAAAATTCACGGCTGCATCACCACACATTTTTTAGTTACCACTGAGAATCACGGTTTATCGTCATTGAACCACAAGAAACGCTATAAACTAATTTTACAACCAAGAGTATAGACAACATTTTAAAAAATAGAGAAATAAAATTATGTTGCTCGTCACATGATGAATTCACAGTTGCATCACCATGCGTTTTAGACTTACCATTGAGGGGAGAAAAGCCTTATAAGTTTGTGCCCACTGAGAATAATGATAGACTACTCATCACATGTGAAAGTCAGGGTTGCACCAGTATACACAAGAGCAACACATTCCTTTTGAAAAATTGCTTCGGGGTTAATATACTAAACAAAACAAAATACATATTTATAGAAGGAGCAGTCCCAAATTAGAATTACGAATTGCTCATAATAAAACTCTCATGTACTGTAAGCATCTATTTACCAGGCTGTAGACATACAATATGATTTTCAGAGGTTATCATGCATCTTTTAGTTTACTTAGAGACTGATTTAGTATAAAGACATGGTTTCAGATTAAGAATATAAAGATTTAGGGTACTAATTATTATGAATCTATCAAGAACAGTAACAAGGGGGAGAGAAATCTTGCATGTGCATAAGCATGCCCATGTCAGGGGTAGTACCTGATGCCTTTTTTTGGGAGTTGATTCACTGTCCAGCAGTAATAAAGACAAACAAAGAGTGAGGGCCAGAGAAGAACTGGTTATAGTAAGGTTTTATAGGATGATGTCCAGTCTTGCTGTAACTTTAAAACAGCCCATTGCATCAGAAGCTTCATATGATTTAAAAAAAAAGATCTCTGTCTGCTTTCCCTATGATTCGTCGGCTTTGAGATAAAGGATACTCAAAAACCCTAGCCACCTACTATTAACAGATCCATTGACCAACTGTATCACTGAAACTATGATACATTGCTCTCAGGAACTACGAATTGCAATTTAAGTATGAAGTGATAGCTAATGGAAGGTGTATAACATCTAAGAGCCTCGTCTCACCTCATGAAGTGTACCATCGCCTCCAACCGCTATGACAGCTTCAGCCCCTTCCCTTATTGCCTACATGGAATAAATAGTTCACAAACACAACTTTTTTGTGAAAATCGATACGTGGTAAAGAAATCAGAAACCAGCAGGTGCATGTATCATACTTCTAGTGAAAATCTGTACCTCCCTCGTTATGTCCACTGCATGAAATGGTCCTGAAGTCATAGACTCGCATATCTGCTCACAGTATGTATATAAGTCAAACTTACATAACGTAATGTTGCTTTGTAAAAGGCTAAAGACATACATAGATCACAACCTATAACCGATAAATATTGTCATATAAGGACCTCTGAAGATTCCAGTAAGAGAAATCAAATAACAGACCAACTACGAATTATCACACTTCTGCAATAATTCAGATGTAATATACAAATATGGAGAAGCTAAAGATTAATAAATTGGCTCACATAAATCCTCGTCAAGATTTCTAATAAATTAGTTACCCTGAAAAAATTCATCGTCTAGTCATAAACTGAAGAGAACTCATCAATCGAGAAGCCTCTAACGGTAGCAAATAAATATGTTAAACCGTTGGGCAATGAGTCCTATTTATTTTGTTAGGCGCAGAGTCACGCCCTCACGCCGTGGAAGCGATATCACCTAAAAGAAAGCCCTAGCTTTTATTGTCACAAAAGCTCAAGTCAACCTCTATATTCCCGTTTCACTAAGGAAATAAGAACATGAAGTGAAATATCTCAACAAAATAAAATATATACTCTTCCTCTCATTAGTTATAGGACTGACTTGTCGAGGGAACCTACAAGCAATAGCCAACACCCAGAAAATAGTAAAAACACGAGATTTACGTGGTTCGGCAAACTTGCTTACGTCCACGGGAGAAGGGGAAGGAGAGATTCCACTATGAGGAGAACACCGACGACTTGTACAATCCACAAGCTCGTCTCAATTTTTTTTTTTGATTTTTACCCAAAAGAAATTAACCTCTATTGTAAAATCTCTCCAAAGCTCTATCCTCAAGATCTCTCTTTTCTAGCCGCCAAAGAAGCCTCATTTTTTTCTCTAAACAAACCTAGGAACCCTGTTCCTATTTATACCCGAATCCAGGCTCAAAAGAACCTGCGGCCTGCTGGACTCGACGCCCACGCGAGACACAAATTGTGTCTCGTGTGAATGGGTGCCGAGACACTCACGTGGTGTGGCCCCCACGAGACACAATTTGTGTCTCGCTCACACCACGTGGGTGTGGCCCTACGTTCACAATTCTCTACCTCGTACATCATTTGATAAACCTTAATTTTTGGACGACACCAGGATAACACCACGAACATTACCAAGAAGATCTGAAACACCAAACCAGGCCGAACCAGGTCAAACCAGCTGCGTCACTATACCACGGCTGCCTACGTATCCTCCACCGGAATCAAGCTAACCGTAGTTCTGTAAATAGTCTTCACCTCACCCCATCACCGCCCCGAAGGGCCATGCACTCTTGGACAGATCAACACGGGCTGATATAAAACAAGTCCAAGTAATGCAGGAACTTGCTGCCTGTGACCACCTTGGTTAACATGTCCGCGGGATTCTTATTCGTGTGCACCTTCATAAGAGAAATATCACATTCCTCTATGACATCCCGCACGAAATGATACGAGCATGATGAACTTGATTCTTCGCCAAGTGATACCTGACATCGATATGTTTTGTACGAGCATGATAAACTTGATTCTTCGCCAAGTGAATCGCACTCTGACTGTCGCATCACAAGTTCACGTTCTCCTACTTAATCCCCAGATCGTCTAAAAGACCACACAACCACAATGCTTTATTCACTCCCTCCGTCATGGTCATGTACTCGACCTCTATAGTAGAAAGTGTTAATGTAGCCTGCAACATCGATCGCCAACTAACTGGAACGCCATGTATCCTGAATACATAATCAGTAGTAGATCGCCGTCTATCTAGATCGCTCGCATAATCTGAGTCAACAAACTCATCAATCTGACACGTATCTTCATCAAAACACATACCCATATCAACGATACCCTTTAATTACCTCATGACCCACTTCACTACTTCCCAATGTGTCTTTCCTGGATTCGCCATGAATCTGCTGATCACACTGACCGCCTGTGAAATATCTAGGCGTGTACACACCATGACGTACATCAAACTATCAACTGCACTAGCATAAGAAACACGCTCCATGTGTGCCTTATCTTCCGCTGTAGTGGGAGATTATTTACCTGAAAGCCTAAAATGTGGAGCCAATGGAGTCACCACCGACTTTACATTTTGCATCCCGAACCTCGCGATCACCCGCTCTACGTAGCCTTTCTAACTCAAGAACAATCGCCTATTCATCTGCTCTCTTCTAATCTTCATACCCAATATTTTCCTAACAGCGTCCATGTCCTTCATCTCGAACTCTTTACTAAGTTAAGGTTTCAGTGTATCTATCGCTACCCTGCTCTTTGAAGTAATAAGCATATCATCCACATACAAAAGGAGATGGATATAATCACATCCACGAAGCTTCCGAATGTAAACACAACAATCGTAATCGCTTCAGGAAAATCCATGTTTCAGCATGGAGTCAAATCGCTTGTACCACTGCCGAGAAAATTGCTTAAGTCCATAGAGTGACTTCCTCAAGCGACACACATGATTCTTCTTATCCTCAACCTTACAGCTCTCAGGTTGATGCATATAAATCTTTTTATCCAAGTCTTTGTGTAAGAAAATCGTCTTTACATCGAGTTGTTCCAGCTCAAGGTCACCATAAGCAACAATACTCAATAGCATCCGAATAGAAGTGTGTTTCACCACCGGAAAAAATATCTCATTGTAATTCACACCCTCTCTTTGTACAAACCCTTTAGTCACTAGCCTCGCCTTGTACCTTGTACCACCGAGCTCTGAATGATCCTTTTTCTTATACACCTACTTACAACCAATAACTTTTCTTCCTATAGGCAATGGGACCCCCTCCCATATTTGGTTTTTTCGAAGAAATTCCATCTCCTCCTCCATTTCAGCTAACCAATTCTCACTATCTTTATCCCGAATAGCTTCCTTAAAGGAGACCGGCTCATCATCCTCCATCGAGAGTGCGTATTCCACCAAATTAACCTGCCCATAGTGCTTCAGGGGTTGATCAGCCCTCAGCTTCAGTACCTGCTTGTATGCTTGCTTTGACCTAGTGGAAGCCAAACTATCTTCGAGCTGCTGTTATTATAATACTTGTGTATTCTCCTGCTAAACCTCCTCCTGCTCAAGCTCATCATCTACCTGATTTTTTACTTGAGCATGATTAGAACCTGGTTGGTCTTTGGGTTCTATCTCAATAACCTAGGACTTTAAAATCCCAACAATCCGAATACTATCATCCTTGGACGTCTTAGCAATCATGAATTTCTCATCAAAGGTAACATCCATGTTGATCACGAACTTCGAATCTTCTGTACACCAAAGACGAGTAACCTTTTACACCCTTTGCATATCCCAAGAATATAGCCTTTTTAACCCTCGCGTCAAGCTTTCCCTCGTTGACGTGATAATAGGCGGTACACCTGAAAATTCGGAGTCTCATAATCTACATGCTCACCTGACCACACCCTATAAGGTGTATCACCATCCAATGTAGAATGTGAAGAACGGTTCATAATATAACAAGCTGTAGCCACTGCTTCTGCTCACCATTCCTTGCCCAATCCAGCATAAGATCGCATACTCATTGCTTTCTTCTGTAATGTTCGGTTCAGCCTCTCCGTGACCCTTTTTTGCTGTAGTATAGATCTGACTGTCCAGTGTTTAGCAATGCCTTCCTGATCACAGAACTCCTCGAAAGCATCATTTGTATATTCTATACCGTTGTCAGATCTTAATGTCTTGAATTTCTTCCATGTCCTATTTCCAACCATCGTCTTCCACTTCTTAAATGTCTTGAATACCTCATTCTTATGCTTAAGAAAATAAATCCAAGTATACCTCGAATGATCATCTATGAACGAGACAAAATATCTGGAACCACCCTTGGAAGTTGTCTAAGCCGGATCTCACACATCTGTGTGCACATAGCCTTTCCGTACACACAATCCTCGCAAAAATCCATGCAATGTTTCTTCAGATTCTTCAGCAAACCCTCCTTACCAAGCGGATTCAAACCCTTCTCTGACATGTACCCAAGCCGTCTATACCATAATCGTGTGTGCTCATATGGGTCTCCACCACTTCTTTCAGTTCCAACCACTGCATCTCTCGTCACCATCATACTTGAGAGAGTATAAATAACTGTGACGAACATCTTTCATCACAACTAGGGAACCCCGAATAACCTTCTTCACTCTATTATCTGTAATAATCCTGTAACCATCGGAGTCCAATGCAATAACTGAGATAAGATTCTTTCGCAAGTCGGGAACATGCCACACATCCGTCAAGGTTCGGACCACTCCATCATGCATCTTGATCTTGATATTACCTAAACCCACCGTTTTACAAGCATGATTGTTCCCTATCAATACGATTTCACCATCAATACTTCTGTAGGTAGTAAACCACTTCCTATTTGGACACATGTGATAAGAGCAACATAAATCAAGAATCCACTTCCTGGAGATATTCTCGCCACCTGTGACGACATAGCATTCCTTCTCGCTCCCTTCCTCTAAAACATAGTTCGCTTCTTCCTTGCCTTCTCTCCTCTCAGCCTTGTTGTTCTTCTTCTTCCCACCTACTCTTATTTAGACAGTCGACCTTGAAATGTCCAACTTCAACGTATTTGAAACACGATTTTTCTGCAAAAGGTCTTGATTTAGATCTAGACTTTCTTCCCCTGCCTTTTCCTCGCTCTGCTCCTTCCTCTAGCAAACAATCCTTACGCATGTTCTTTGCTATCACCAGTAGTCATGTCGCTGGTTGCATTTTTTCAAAGGTCATCCGTTTGAAGTATCGTTCTAGTCTCATCCATCGTCAAATTGTCTCCCACAAGTATCAGTGTACGCACCAAGTTCTCACAAGACTTTGGCAGAGATAGAAGTAGAAGCGTCTGATCCTCGTCTTCAACTGTCACGTCTATATCCTTTAAGTTTGATATGATCCTATCAAACTTGTTGATGTAATTCCTGGATTGATGAGCCCTCCTCCATCTTGTAAGTATATAATTTAGATTTCAAATAGATCCGATTCGTTAGACTTTTCATGAAGGTACTTTC